AAGACCCCATCTCTACTTAAAAAAATACAGAGAGAACACCCATTATATACCGTGTAAAGCCCTTCTATCCACAATGAGCCAAGTAGCTTTTAAACTGGTTGAACTCTAATTGCCTGAATAGCTCCAAGTCATTAGTTGCACATGTTGACCTAAAAGAAGAAGCTGAGGCAAAATTAACAGAGGGACATTATTTGGGCCAAAGTTGAGGACTGCAGTCTGGGACACATTTCCAAATTGCCCTAGAGAGTGCTCTGTCTGTCTACCTCTGTTAGAAACAGGTTTTTAAAGGAAACAAGGAGTGAGCTGATACCAAGTTGTCTGACAGGAATTCTCATTGGATTACAGAGATAACATTGATTAGTGATTGGCTATACATTGTTGAATTACAGGGCATGAGTTACAATGTCCATCATATGGCATTTTATGGCTTTTTGGCATAAATTAACCAAAAACCCACATGGCAAATGGCTTCAAGGTAATTATTTAGCTCAGGAGAGGTTTGACTGCTGTTACATTTTAAATGACTATCTGTGCTGGATAATTTAAAGAAGCTCCCATTCCTCAAATAAAAAGTTTTTTCTTCCTTTCCTGGAGGGAGACACAGAAAGAATGACAGCTGAATTAAAATGATTGTGGAGCAAAGAGAAAAAGGATTTAACAATCTGGAGGTGAGGGAGGACAGGGGGAGAAGGTTGTTTTAATAAGCACGAAGTGGGGGGGACAATTCCTATTGCACAGTAGGCTCTCTACAAATAAATGGGAAAAAAATGAATAAAACAAAAGAACAAAAAGAAGTTGTTGACAAGATGAAGAGTCTTTTATGACATGGCCCCAGAAGTAGGGAGAGAAATGTAATATTTTATTTGCTACCCTGTAAGCATATTTTAAATACATCCATTCTATGGAAAAATGCTATTGAAATTCTCACCAACCATTTTCACAAAGTTTTAGAAAATGACTCATTCATAAAACTTGCCAATTTATATAAAATTCATTAGAAGGAAAAACCAAATTACTAAATCATAAACTAAAGGGAAAAATTACTAACTAAAGAAAAAAAAACACTTCTAAAGAAAATGGTTAATTATAAAACTAAATGCAGAAAAATTAAACTACACAGTTACTTTAAAATGTACCAGACCATCCACAAGACTTCCCATCTTCTGTATAATGCTTTTTAAAATGCTACCATCACCATATTTAAACAAAATTCTCAGGTAAGTAAATGTGGTCTGTTTATACTGGGTATCTTATACAAAGGGAACATGACAAGTTCAAGGAGTTAATCATGTATTCTGGCGAGTCAATCAACAAACATGACCAAGCACACACCAGGCAATGTGTTGTGTAATAAATGAATTATGAAATTAGCTGTTATTACTAATGATACTGAATTACACCCTCTGTATGCCAGACCATAAAAAAGGTTAAGAGTCTCAGCAATAGAGATGTAATTGCCAAAATCCCCCATAAATGATTATGGTTTTATTAATTTATTTTTTGTGAAAAATCTTTTTTTGTTGCATTTATTATAACAAAATGTGATTCCTACCAAGCCAAGTGGTAAAATTTAAGTTAAGGCATCATGTACTGAAAATGAATGTTAATTTATGAAAAGCTCTCACAGCAGACTAATGTTTGTTGTTTAAAATTACAGAGAAATTTAATTATATCAATCAGTGTCTAAAATAAGTATGGACTTCTTTTTTGAGACGGAGTCTCATTATGTCACCCAGGCTGGAGTGCAGTGGTGTGATCTCAGCTCACTCCAACCTCTACCTGCCAGGTTCAAGTGATTCTCCTGTCTCAGCCTCCCAAGTAGCTGGGATTACAGATGCCCAGCACCATGCTCCACTAATTTTTGTATTTTTAGTAGAGATAGGGTTTCACCATGTCGGCCAGGCTGGTGTTGAACTCCTCACCTCAGGTGATCTGCTCACCTCAGCCTCCCAAAGTGCTGGGATTACAGGCGTGAACCACGCACGATGCCTGGCCTTTTTTTTTTAAGAAAGATTTTTACAGTCTACTTGCTTTAGTAGCATACACCCTAAACAAAATTTAAGTTTAAAGTGAAATTTATAATGCATATTGAAAATTTAACTTATCACACTGAGAGAATAATCTATCACACATTTAGTTATTGTATAATAACTAAATGGCAAGCAAATCATTAAAAATATATAAAAGAGGCTGGGCACGGTGGCTCATGCCTGTAATCCCAGCACTTTGGGAGGCTGAGGCAGGTGGATCACGAGGTCAGGAAATAGAGACCATCCTGGCCAACATGATGAAACCCCCTCTCTACTAAAAATCCAAAAATTAGCTGCGCATGGTGGCGCATGCCTGTAATCCCAGCTACTAAGGAGGCTGAGGCAGGAGAATAGCTTGAACCAGGGAGGCAGAGGTTGGAGTGAGCTTAGATCACACCACTGCACTCCAGTGGCAATAGTGAGACTATGTCTCTAAAAAAAAAAAAAGAAGAATATATAAAAGAATTAGGAAATAATTGAACTAAAAATGTCTACAGAGATATTTTATTCTTATCTATCTCAGAATTAAACTTGAGCTTTTTCAGTCAGAATATATTACATAAAGCGTTTTTTCCCCTTGCTAGGTGCTATGTTTTTAGCTGCTAGGTGGTCTAAGAAACAATGAATCATTTTTATTGCAACAGAGTGCTAAATAATTCTATGTTTATATTCTACTTTACTTAAGCAAATATCATTTACTAGAGGCATCATTGCTGCCTCTAGTAAATACGTGTAAGAGAGGCCAGGCTCAGTGGACCATACCTGTAATCCTAGCACTTTGGTAGGTCAAGGCGGGAGAACTGCTTGAGCCCAGGAATTCAAGACCAGTGGGCAACATAGTGAGACCTTGTTTTTATTTTAAAAAAAGTTTTTAAACCAATTAGCTGGACATGGCGGCATGTACCCGTAGTCCCAGCTACTCAGGAAGCTGAGGTAGAAGGATAGCCTGACTCTAGGAGGCCGAGGCTATAGGGAGCCAAGATTGTGCCATCTAGCATGGGTAAACAGCAAGACCCTTTCTCTAAAATAACAACAACAATTGTTAAAGAAAGGCAAAAACAATAAATAATGACTAACAGTAACCGAGACAGCGCAAAGCCACAAAGCAAATTAGCAACAGAACCAGGATTCCAACATAAGCTGTAGGACTTTAGAGTGCATATTCTTCATCACCTATGCATGTTATTCTGCCTCTTAAAGATATCTCCTGCCATTTTTATATTACAGTAAAAATGTTGACAACAATAACAGCAAAAAACTCCCAATGAATGAATAGGGAATATCCAAAGAAGCTATAGACACTACGGTTACGATTTAAAGGAAAAGTAAAATAAAGAGGAAAAATACAAACTAGAAACCTTATCTTACATGTCCTATTCCAAATAAAGTTGTGAGCACCTCAGTGTTGCTTTCATTTTTATTTACTTCATTTGAGAAATGCTACATTTGCATCCCTGACTGATCCTCAACCTTCCATAGTTTCAAAAAACTTCAGCTTTTATAATACATACACTCCCCCACTTTAATACTCCATAAAACACCTAAATGTTCTGAGAGAATGCAAACAAAGGAATCTAAACTATTTATGTAAAGTTTACATAAGTCCCAAATTTGACTTACTGTTTTAACTTAGTTTGGGAAGTTTCTAATGGAGAAAATTTATAATTCAAATTAATTTTAAATTTGCCATATGAACGTAAAGTACTAAAATGTTATGCCAATCTACTGAGTGGGTATGAAAAATGTGAACTCATTTCAGCACTATTGTAGTCATTATTCTTCTATTAATACTCTAAAGTTAATTCTTCTCCCATGAATTTTTCAGGGAGATACGAGTCAGTCACTGACTAAACAGTTCTATTACTGGATCATGACATACCTAAGCTTAACATTTCATTAAAAGTACTTAAAATTTTTGCTAGCTAAATAGAATCATAAAATTACAAGGTTAAAAGGAATTTAAAAGGTCATTTCTTTATTTCCCCTGCCTTCAAGAAGGATCATACTCATACTACCAGAAGTTTTACCTATTTTATAAAGCCCCAGAAAACAGAATTCCAAAATCTGCCTTAGAAACCTGTTTTAATACTCATTCTAAGTAATTTTACATATGCTTAATTTCTGAAACCAAAAGGACAGAGTAAAATAGAACCAACATGAGTTTTGAAGGCAAGACCTAAGTTTAATCCTCCTTTACCAAAACTACTGGCAAAATGACGCTGGTCAAATTACAGTACTAGGTGAACTCAAAGCATTGTTTCTTGTCCATAAAATGTGGTTATAATTAACTGCTGAAATCTGTTTAAGAATTAAGTAAACAGATACGGTCTCAACCATAGTGCATGATAGCTGGTGCTCAGTAATTGCCATTTCCTTCCCTTTTAAAAATCATTTCCCAGAACTTCGGGTTCTAGTAATGGCGAAGCAGCTTGGTCAGATAAACCTTCCTATAAAATCTAGACGAAAACACCATTTTTCAGTGCTCTGGAGAGACACCAAATGTAGGCAGAAACTGGGAAGAGTTTACCCGTGAAGAAAAGAAAGTGTATCTGACAACAAGCACTTGTTTATACCTTTTCATCCAAGAGCAATTCTCAAACTTTCTGGGCTCAGGACCCCCTTACACTCTTAAAAATTATTGGCCAGGCGTGATGGCTTACTCTGGCTCACTCCTGTAATCCCAGCACTTTGGGAGACTGAAGTGGGCTGATCACAATGTCAAGAGATCAAGACCTTCCTGGCCAACATGATGAAATCCCATCTCTACTAAAAAAACAATTAGCTGGGCGTGGTGGCGTGTTCCTGTAGTCCCAGCTACGCAGGAGGCTGAGGTAGGAGAATCACTAGAACCCAGGAGGCGGAGGTTGCAGTGAACTGAGATCACACCACGGCAGTCCAGCCTGGCAACAGAGCAAGACTCTGTCTACAAAAAAAATTACTGAAGATCCCACATTAGAAATTTAAAAAACGATCCTTTCAGAGTTCAAAGGCTTGACATTTTAAGTTTTCACACACACATATGAGATGTGCCTCCCTCAAATGTTGTCACGACATCGGTACATTGCCATCTGATGTGAAATACAAAAAACTGAAAAGGAAAAAATCATGATGAAGTCATTACAAATAATAATGGACTTTTTATATCTTAACATATAACTTCTAATGACATTTTCTGGAACAAACAAAAATATTAATGAGAAGAGTAGCCCTGTTCTACCTTTTTGCAAATCTGCTTAATGTATAGTATTTAAAAAGTTAACTGCATTTTCATATCTGCTTCTGCAAAGAATCATAGCAATCTATTATTAGTTGAAGTATATGAAGAAAATTTGTCCTCAAGTACACACATACCTAACTGGGGCAGGGGACCTGATGACCCCTTGCAAAGCTCTCAGAGACAGACAAGGGGTCCTCAGATCACACACTGAGAATTGCTGATCTAAAGGGGCATTTATCTGTGTATAACTCAGAAGCAGAAAGATACAGCTTTACTGAACTTAGGTGACACCAAAGTTTGAGGTTGGCAGGGCAATTCTAACATTGAGGTGTAAATTCTGGAAGCGAAGAAGCCAACAGTGGGTAAATCCCAAAATTTATATATAAATTGTCCAAACCTTGGCTATCTGCCTAAGTATGCATATGTAGAGGAGATTCTAGGGTACAATGACAATGAAAGAGCTGGAAAGAAAAGATTTCAGCTGCTGCCATCACTGAAAAGAGAAGGCAAGCAAACCACTTTAATTTAGCCAAGCAAACCACTGACTAGAAACAAAAAAATACTCTTCAGAGGAACATAACATAAATGTTATAAATTTTATGAATTAAAATTTATGTTTATATTATAAATAAAATATAGACTACATTTCATCTCTACACTTCATAATGTAAGCATGAAATTTAAAACTTACTGAATACACATACAAAAAAAAAAATACCTCAGAAAAAAAAAAACAGGAAAATGTGACCTATATTCAAAAAACAATAAAAAGAAACCAACTTCAAGAAGACATAATCATGCAACTGGCATTAGACTAGCTATAAAAAGTAAGCTCAAGGACTAAAGAAACTATTTTCAAAACAAACTTAGAGAGGAGGAATCTCAGAAAATTGGAAAAGTTTCATAAGAATCAAATGAATATTCTAGGCCTAAAAAGTACAATAACTGAATTGAAAAACAAGCAGGTGGGCTTAGAAGCAAGTTGGAAACAACAGAAGAAAGAATAAATGAATTCAAATCAAGAGAAATTATTCAACCTAAAAAACAGAAAGAAAAAGGACTGACAGCAGAATCTCAGAGACCCACCTGTGTGTCAGGATGAATAAGTCTAATGTTCTAATGTTAAGTACAGCTTAAGTCGCAGAAAGAGTAGAGAATGGGGCAAAAAATTTGAAGAAATCATGACCTAACACGCCCCCAATGTGGTGAAAAACAAAAACTTTTATCAATATAAATCTTATGCAGCAAAAATACAAAGAAAACATACCTGTGCACATCACAGTTAGATGGCTTAAATAAAATTTTTTCAAAGAAAAAAAATCTCAAAAGCAGTCAGAGGAAAACAATAAAGTCAAACAAAAATATGAATATATAGATATCTACCTTCTCCTTAGACACTACAGAGAACAGAAGACAATTTCCATTGTAGTTTCTAAGGAGAAGGTACATATCTATACATTCATATTTTTGTATTATATAAAGATGTATTTCAATGGAAATACATCTTTATAGAACTAGAAAAAAATAACCATCAAGCCAGCACTCTTCAGCAAAAGTATCCTTCAAAGATACGGCAAAACAAAGATACTTTCAGGAAAACAAAAACAAAATTTGTAGCTAGCCAAAACTATGGCAGTTCCCCCAAAAAGCTAAAAATAGAATAATCAAATAATTCAGCAACTCCACTTTTGGATATAAACCTAAAAGAACTGAAAAGAGGAATGTGACAGATATTTGTACATTCATATTGATAGCAGCATTATTTATAATGGCTAAAAGGTAGAAGCAACCCAAGTGTCCATCAACACATGAGTGAACAGATAAAATGTGATATGTACATACAATATTTAATATTCAGCATTAAAAAGAAAATTCTGACATGTGCTATAACCCTGGATGAACCTTGAAGACATTATGCCATGTGAAATAAACCAGACACAAAAAAAACAAATACTGTATAATTCCATTTATATGAGGTACCTAAGTTAGTCAAATTCATAGACAGAAAGAGAAGAGTGGTTACCAGGGGACTGAGGGTAGGGAAGGAGTTCTTGTTTATTGAGTAGTTTCAGTTTGAGCTGTTGAAAAAGTTCTGAGGGTAGATGGTGGTAATGATTGTACAATAATGTGAAAGTATTTAATGCCACTAAATTTCACATTTAAAAATTGTTAAAATGGTAAATCTTGTATTTTACAACCAAAATTTGTTTTAATCAACATAATTTACCATATTCAGAAAATAAAAAAGAAAAACCATATGGTTACCTCAATAGACGCTAAATAAGATTTTACCAGCTTGAATACTCATTTACAACAAAAACAAAAAATTTCTCAGCAAACTAAGAAAAGAATTTACCCAGTCTTACGGACACCCAACCTGGAGTTAACTTAAGTGTTGAAGCACTGAACATTTCCCCCACCTCACACTGGTTAAGAGGGCAAGGGTGTCTACTTGCAACAGTTCTACTCAACATATTACTGAAGTTTCAGATAGTACAATAACAATAATAAAGGTATAAAAATTGGAAAGAAAGTAAAACTACCCCTATTTGTGTGCAACATAATTATTAATGTAAAAAAATGCAGAAGAATTAAATAATTATGATTAATAAGTGTCTGCCAGGCCTTTTAACAAAAAGTTAACATACAAAATTTTACTGTGTATCTATGTACTAGCAATGAACAACTGGAAAACAAAACTAAAAAAATTCCATTTATATTTGCATCATACAACATAAAATGCTTAGTAATAAATTTAACAAAAGATACACAAAACCTCTACCAAAACTACAAAATGTTGCTGAGAAAATTAAAGATGACCTAAATAAATGGAAAGATGTGCCATGTTCATGACTGGAAGTTTCAAGACTCTTAAAGTGTCTCCAAAGTGATCTACAAATTCGACACAACCCCAGTTACAGTCTCAGCATAATCATACTCCTTTCTACAGTAATTAGCAAGCCTATCCTAAAATTCATAATTGAAACAAAAAGATCTAAAATCTTGGGAAAACAACAAAGATGGAAAATTTACATTAACACCAGGATTTACTAAAAAGCCATTCAGTGCTTCTCAGCTGGGGCCAATTTTGTCCCTCAGTGGGCATTTGGCAATATCTGGAAACAATTTTGGCTGTCACAACTGGAAAGACATTACTACCACCTAGCAGTAGAAACCAAAGATACTATTAAATATTTTACGATGTATAAGACAGCCTCACAACAATGTGGCCCAAAATGTCAATAGTGCCAAGGTTGGGAAATCCTAAACTACAATGGATCAAGACAATATGGGCCAGGCGCAGTGGCTCATGTCTGTAATTCCAGCACTTTGGGAAACCGAGGCTGGCAGATCACCTGAGGTCAAGAGTTCAAGACCAGTCTGGCCAACATGGTGAAACCCGTCTCTACTAAAAACAAAAAATTAGCCAGGCTGGTGGTAGGTACCTGTAATCTCCGCTACTTGGGAGGCTAAGGCAGGTGAGTCACCTGAACCCGGGAGGCAGAGGCTGCAGTGAGCCGAGACAGAGCACTGCAGCCTGGGTGACAGAGTGAGACTTCATCTCAAAAAAAAAAAACAAAACATATATATGGTATTGACATAAGGACAGTCAAACAGATTAATAAAACAGAATACAGATTCCAGAAGTAGACCTCTTAGGTCAAGTATTCAATAAAGGTGACAAAGCAACTCAATGGATAAAGTGTTTTCCAAAGCAGGTTTTAGAACAACAGGATATGCATACGCAAAAGAAAGAAACAGCTGAACGCAGTGGCTCAAGCCTGTAATCCCAGCACTTTGGGTGGCCAAGGCGGGTGGATCACGAGGTCAAGAGATTGAGACCATCCTGGTCAACATGGTGAAACCCCATCTCTACTAAAAATACAAAAAATTAGCTGGGCATGGTGGCGTGTGCCTGTAATCCCAGCTACTCGGGAGGCTGAGGCAGGAGAATTGCCTGAACCCAGGAGGCGGGGGTTCCGGTGAGCCGAGATCGTGCCATTGCACTCCAGCCTGGGTAACAAGAGCGAAACTCCGTCTCAAACAAACAAACAAACAAACAACTTGATCCCTACTCCCCTCCATATAAATACACAAATAGTAGGTGGAAATAAATCACAGACTTAAATAAAAGTTAAATGATAAGTTGATAAAGCTTCTAGAAAAATGCATTAAAAACATCTTCACAACCTAGCAAAACTACTGAGAAAAGGTTTAAAAGCAGAATATATACACAAAAAAAAACCTAAAAGAACTCCTACAACTCAGTAAAAACAAAAGCCAATTTTTTAAATGGTTAAAGAACTTGAAAAGACATTTCAGAAAGGAAGATAAACAAATGGCTAATAAGTGCATGAAAATTCAAAGTGGTCAGTATTAATATTCATCACAGAAATACAAATTATAACCAAAATGAGAAATATAAATTAAAAGCACAAACTACATACTCATTAAGATGACTAAAATGTACAATACTGCAAACAACTGATTGCTCGTGATAATGGAGAGCAACACAAACTCCCATGTATTGATGGAAAGCAGGTAAAACAGCACATAAAGCTCTAGCTGTTTCTTATAAAGTTACACGTATCCTATTATCCAGTGATTCCAATCCTAGGTATTTACTCAAGAGAAATAAGTCCACAAAAGGCCTCTACAATAATGTTCTACTTTATTCATAATAGTATGTCTGTTGTGAATAGTATGTCTGTAAGTGAAAGAAACCATGTATATTCATAAACAGACTACTTACTACACAGCAATAAAGAGAAATGAAATTCTGTTATGTACAACAACCTAGATGAATTTCAAAAACATTATGGTGAGTAAAAGATGCCAGGGACATTTATGGTCACTTAAATGTAAAATTCTAGAGTAGTGACAGTAGTTTATGTTTTATTTATTAAAAAAAAAAAAAAAAAAGCTGGACCCAGTGGTTCACACCTGTAATCCCAGCACTTTAGGAGGTCAAGGCAAGCAGATTGCTTGAGGCCAGGAATTAGAGACCAGCCTGGCCAAAATGGCGAAAATACAAAATACTAAAAATACAAAAATTAGCCAGGCAAGGTTGCCACCTATAGTCCCTCCCAAATGCCCGTAGTCCCAGTTTCTTGGAAGGAAAAGGTACAAGAATTGCTTGAACCCGGGAGGCAGACATCGCAATGAGCCAATATTGCACCTCTGCACTCCAGCCTGGGTGACAGAGCAAGGCTCTGTCTCAAAAAAATAATAATAATAGCAGATGACTCGAGGGCAAACCAGAAAGGGTCACTAAGGATCTTCCTGGGGTAACAGAGATGTACTCTATCTTGATAGGAGTGTTAAGTTACACCCATGTGAACATTTGTCAAAATCAAGCAGTTAGGTTCTGTGCATTACAATGTATGTAAATCTTACCCCAAAAAACTATTAAAAATGTAGTGGAGGTAGGGGAGTAAACAGAGGTACCACTCAAACAAGAAATGGCAAAGTATTAATTGTTGACACTAAGTGATAGGTACATGGGAGTTCATTATACCATTTTGTTCACTTTATATGTGTTTGAAATTTTCCATGATTAAAGGTTTTGATAAAATAATTTTCCTTAATTCCCACTCAGTGGAGGAAGAAAACTAATAATCACTGTCCTTCATATAAATTAAAATCTAAGGAAGTCTCTAAACTTTCTTTTCTTTCCCAAACCATCCCTGTCCTTTACACTTTTTTCATATCCATCATAGTTACAGGTCACCTTGAAATCTGTCCCTATTTTCTGTACCTTATTTATGTATTACTATCTAGTAGGGAGAAATAGACTGAAGCTAACACTTCATTAGCCTCTAGTACACACCCAGCAGTCTGCTACCTACTTTAAGTATTACCCATTTAAATCCCAAAACAGCATTTAGCATCTAAAACTTTAACCCTTAGAGTGACTATAGTTAACACTAATTGACTGTATATTTCAAAATAGCTAAAAGGCAGTAATTTGTATGTTCCTAGCATAAGGATAAATATTTAAGAGTTCCCAAGTATCCTGATTTGATTATATGAATGTATCAAATTATCACATGTACCCCAAAATATGTACATGCATATCAATTTAAGAAATAAAAATGTTAACATTTCTTTACTGACAGCTCTCACTAGATTTATGTTCAATGGCAACCCTGATCTTATCTTGTTCACTATTTCTTCACATCAGGCACATAGCAGGTAATCAGTAAATACACGTAAATCAAAGAATGAAAGAATATCAGAGCTCATAAGTACAGTGGTTTAGCTCTCTTTTTTGGTAGTGTAAATCATTTCCCATTCTAGCTATATCCAGCTTATTCTGCTTTTAATCTTACTGGCATCAATATCAATTTAACAATCGTTTCAAGTATTTGTATTTGTTTAAAGTGGAATAGAATAACCCATGTTTGAAAGTGTCACATTTTCTCTATTTATTCAAACATGTAATGTAGTAAATCAATTTGTATATTTCAACAAGTCTTTAAATAATATATTTTTTATATGTGGTGTTAGTTTTTCTGTTCATATTCATACAGATAAAGAAAAAAAAAATCCTAACACTTTTTTTTAACAGCCTGGTTCTCATGATGTTGCCTGGCTTCCTAATGCATTTTGGCAGTCTCTTTTTTGATAGTATCACCATCATCACAAAGCTGAAAAACCCTAACCAATATTGAGAACTCAAAGTTCCTAACAGGGAAAGTTATAATTAAATTATTATTGAATTAATAACTACTGAGTTAATAAGTTATCACTGGGTTAATAACATTGAGCTGTAATATAATCAACCATTTTACTTCAAAAGAATTCATCTAACAAACTAAGCATTTACATAAACTTAAGATCAAATTGTTAGATCCCTTCAGTGAATCTAGGTTTGTTCTCGGAGTATATTCATCAGTAAACATTGGGGGTGTGGTTTATGAATAAAACTACCAATACTTTAGATTAGAATTTGAGTTCTATCTCAATTTCAAAGAGTAATTTTTTTCATTCTTAAATAAAATCCTCAAAACATCCATACGTTAAAAAGTTTAAAAGAGCAGGGGGATGTTATTAGTGATATTATAAAATACAAAAACTGAGTGAAATAGTTGTTAAGTAAAGTAAGTCGATGGCAAGTAGTAGATTTTTCCTCCTTAGTTAAGCAAAATACCATAAAAGCTGGTCATTGCAACGTTTTTCAACCAACTAAAAAAATCTTTTAAAAAAATGTTTTAACATTCCAAGGGACAAGGCAAAAGAGAAGCAAACTTCAGGAGAAACAAACAAAAAAAATCACTCACAAAGAATGACATTGTGTGTGTGTGTGTATGTGCGGGCATATATATATATATATATATATATATATATATAAAACTTTATTACTTAAACATTTCACAAATGTCTTACATATATCATTTGCCACAGATTTAAATCCAAATTCTTCCAAATGCCATTTGATGTTTATAGATTATACATAACTTTAAAAAACATTTAATTCAAATGTTCCAAATGCAGCAAAGGACTGGAAAATAGAGGTTTCAAATACTCGTTTAGAGACACCAGCAAATAGATCTGACCTTTTCAAGTGGCTTTCCTGAAGAATTTCCAATCAGTTTCCAGTCATTCAAGACTTCTTCAACTTTGGAAATAAACCTAGGAAGTGGGGAGAAAGCTTCTAAATACAACAGCACACATTTTTTTCCTATTATACAACTTCTTTAAAAAGGTATTTTTATATTTTAACAATTTAACCAGAGAGCACTCAGTACATTTAGTATTGCTAGCTTAATTTATGGATATGGAGTAAAAAAATAATATTTTATTCAAGATTTCTTAAGTTTTGATTCACTTATATCTATTGCTTACCTAACAAAACATTCTGGCTTCTACAAAATATAAATTAAGAATTAAAGAATCTCTACTGAAACAAATAAAACAAATTTGGACCACAAATAAAAACTGACAGACGAAAATGATACTATTAAAGATAATTATGGGCCAAGTGCAGTGGCTCATGCCTGTAATCCCAGACCATTGGGAGGCTGAGGTGGACAGGTCACCTGGGGATGGGAGTTAGAAACCAGCCCAGCACAAATGTAAAAAAAAAAAAAATTAGCTGGGTGTGGTGGTGCACGTTTGTAATCCCAGCTACTTGGGAGGCTGAGGCATGAGAATCACTAGAACGGGGAAGCAGATGTGGCAGTGAGTGGAGATCATGCCACTGCACTACAGCCTGGGCAATAGAGCGAGATTTCATCTCAAAAATAAATAAGTAAAAAAAATTATGAAACCAATAATTTCTCTCCTACCCAAAATAACTGACTCTATTTATGAATTCCCTTCCCTGATTTACCCCTCTCCCAACAAAAAAAAGAAAATATTATTTGGGAACTTGGCTCATAAAACTAAAACAAGTTTTAATGAGCAGCTGACAAGAAATTACAAGTAAATCTGTAAACTTTAAGGAATGTAACTGACAGATCATAAAACTATTCACTAATCTTTAAATCCAATGATCAACAAGACCTACTAAAAAGAGAACTAAATTTTGACTAGTAACATGCTCAACATCAGTATATGAAAACTGTCAAGTCTCAGTCAAAGACACTTTGAGGAGATTCCTTATTACTCTAAGAAGCTGACTTCTTATATAAGCTAAGTATGATGCAATCTAAAAGCAACATTGCTCTCTAAACCCCTAGAAGTAATTGCTAGAGCACTAAAGCTAATTCTAGTCAAACTGCCTGCAAAGGCTACAGATTTTTTCCTTCAGTGACATTATGAACTAATATTTTTATGTTTTAAAATAGTAATGATAAATCCAGGTATGATTCAACTGAGGCTTCTTAGTAATTCCTCTTTAAAATTAAATGCAGTATTAATTCATACACTATTCACGGGGAGGGGGTCAGTCAAAAGGCAATTACTAGGTTTGAAAATGAGTGCTCTAGAAACAAGTTTATATGTTTACAAAAAAAGAAAAAATTTAAATATATCCATAGGTGAGTAAAAATTTGCATGAAATGTATACTGCATTTATGAAGGTAAAAAACTGGAAGTTACCTTAATGGCCAAGTGCAGCAAACACTTGTAAATTAATGGTATATTCATCCACTCAGAGGACTAATATGCACTCATTAAAAATCATGTTTTGAAGAATGTTTGAGGAAGAAATTGTTTAGTATGTTAAATGAAAAAATGAAAGCTATAGAAAGAAATATTAATATTTGATCCAAAGAAGTTTTTAACACAGGTTAGAAGGAAATATGTCAAAAAATTAACAGAGTTATTTCCTGGTGGTAAATTTACAGATGACTTTTATTTTGTATTCTACAAGGTATTATTGTTATAGTAAAAACTATTTAAAATATAGTTTTTACAGTAAAAGAAGAATTTTTTTTTTGAGACAAGGTCTCAACTCTGTCACCCAGGCTGGAGTGCAATGGTGTAACCATGGCTTGCTGCAGCCTCGTCCTCTCCGGCTCAAGCAAACCTCCCATCTCAGCCTCCTGACTAGCTGGGACTACAGATGTACATCACCACGCCCAGCTAGTTTTTGTATTTTTAGTAGAGATGCGATTTCACCATGCTGCCCAGGCTGGTCTTGAACTCCTGAGCTCAAGTGATCTGCCTGCCTCAGCCTCCCAAAGTGCTGGGATTACAGGCATGAGCCGCCATACTAGCTAAGAGACTTGGACTTTATCTTACAAGTATTGAGATTTGAATAGAAAAATTAAGTACCTTTCTCCTTAAAAGTGCTCAGGAAATGAAGGGTCATTTCCTGATTCCTTATTCTATATCAGGTTCCTTTGCTATCCGCTCTCATAAGACTAGGTTTCGTTCCTTTCTTAGCTTTTACATAAATTTGTAATTACAGACCTGTATTATTTGTGTCTGTACTGCACTAGACTGTACATTTAATAGGAGCAGAAACTGTACCTGTTTTACTAACCACCACATCCCTATATCCCTAATGTGCACTGTGCTTGACATATGGGCATTCAATAAACATTCTGTCAATGAACAAATGATAAAAAGAGTCATGGGCTTCTATACAGTTCTCTCAATAAATTATCTACATAGTTCATAACATGCTGTACTGACAAGAACTTTCATTGAAAATTAAACTCAAGGTTTGAGACTTCAAAATCTTATTCCCATGAATTGTAAAATGCACACTACAAACAGTGTAAAAGCCAAAAACCAAATTTTCTATTTTGCAATAGTTCTTATAACTGCATTAACAACTATTTCCATATGCAGATCTTTAGCTTAATATTCCACTTCAGGATATTAACTAGGAGAAAGTGATCATTTTTCCATTCAAAACTCTCATGTTTCCTCATCCCCACCCTCCAAGATTTAAGTTACATTTTTCTAACAACCTTCAAGACATCAAATTATTTCAAATTCCACAGATTCAAAACTGCAATCCTCTCACTTTGACACTTCCTTATCTTCATTCTTTCAGGCAAAAAACTGCAGTTCATGTTTGATTTTTCCCATTCTTACGGATCATTAAGTTTATTACCTAAGTCTTCTCTGAAATATTTTACAATCCTCCCTTCTAGCCCCTTTCTCTCCACTCCCCAAATCACCATTCTAATTATGAATCAAGTTAACTCTCCCACCATTCTACATCATGTCCTAAAACCACTCTCATCATATCACCTGGCCACTCTAATATCAAGGGTCTCTCACTATTGTCTTAAGCAGTGGTTCTTTCTAAGTGTGGTCTCCTGACCAGCTGCATCTGAATTACCTGAGACCATGTTACAGAAGCAAAAATCTTTAGTCCCACCTCAGACCTACAGAATCAGAAACTCTGAGGATAGGCCCCAGCAATCTATGACTCAGATGCACATTAAAGTATGAGAAAATCACTGGTCATAAGAATACCAAATCTGGACTCCTATATTTAGTTTGGGAAGCTGTCCATAACCCAACTCCATCTTCCTCGTTAACCTATTTCCCTTCAATAACAGTCTTCAGGCCAGGCACAGTGGCTCACGCCCATAATGCCAGCAATTTGGGAAGCCAAGGCAGGTAGATCACAAGGTCAGGAGTTCAAGACCAGCCTGGCCAAGATGGTGAAACCACATCTCTACTAAAACTACAAAAATTACTCAGGCATGGTGGTGCATGCCTGTAATCTCAGCTACTCAGGAGGCTGAGGCAGGGAATTGCTTGAACCCAGGAGGCAGAGGTTGCAGTGAGCTGAGATCGTGCCACTGCACTTCTGCCTCAGTGTCAGAGCATGACTCTGTTTCAAAAAAAAAAAAAAAGTCTTCACTCTATTGAAATTTCTTCATTAAGTCCTTTGAAAGGTTCATCCTCACCTATGTCTCTGCCCATGTCAGTCCATTCTTATGCCTAACCACTTCCCACATTCAAGGCCCGGTTCATTTCCTATCTTTTCTATGAAAGTATCTCCAACTATTGTAGTCCACAATATCACCCCTATCTAAATAATAATAATTTTAATTATTATGTTTATAGTAATACCAATTGACTTACATTTTAACTATTTGCTGTTGTTTTTTTAAAAAATATATGGGTCGGCCGGGCGCGGTGGCTCACACCTGTAATCCAAGCACTTTGGATGCCAAGGCGGGCAGATCACCTGAGGTCGGGAATTCACAACCAGCCTGACCAACATGGTGAAACCCCGTCTTAAATAAAACAAAAATAGAGAAAAAATATATATATGGGCCAAGTTTCTGATTTTCCCTTTGTGTGTGTGTGTGTGTGTGTGTGTGTGTGTGTGTGTGTGTGTGTGTATATATATATATGGCTCTAGATACCCAGTACCTGCCCAACGAAGTCTTGCCAGTGTGGTTATGTCTTACTGACACTTATGAAGGTACCACAACTCTATTATTTCAACAAAAGCCTTTTATATTTTCCTATGCCACCTAATGACATGACAACCACAAATTTCCTCTCCCAACCAGAAAGTTTATAAAATGTTGTAACAACATAAACACTGACTTCAACATCCAGAAAACTGAACGGTTTCTGTGACACTGAACAGAAACCTTCTCGATCTAAGCTATCACTCCTCCACAAACTTGGCTTTCAACTCATTTCAGTGATACAACAGTTTCACCCAGACAGCTGTTCATCCGAGTTTGACAGGCACAGGAAGCTTGGGCACAGTACCCACTGAGATGTGTAACAACTTGAATCAAAGCGTTCCAAAGCCATATGCAGACTTTTTAAAAAGGTTATTCTAAAAGACAGGATGGGCCAGGCGCAGAGGGTCACGCCTGTAATCTCAGCACTTTGGAAAGCCGATGCTTGAGCCCAGGAGTTCAAGACTAGCCTGGGCAACACAGCGAGATCTTTAAAATATTAGCTGGGCGTGAAGGCGCGTGCCTGTTGTCCCAGCTCCTCCCAAGGCTAAATGGGGAGCTTCACTAGAGCCTAGGAGTTCCAGGCCACAGTGAGCTATGACCTCGCCATTGCACTCCAGCCTGGGTGACAAACTGAGACCCTGTCTCCAAAAATAAATAAAAATAAAAAATTTAAAACAGCATAGAGATGGTCGGAGTGTGGACCATGACCAATACTCTGAAGAAAGACTTCCTCCTGAAAAGGGTATATCAACGTAGACGGGATGGGGTGGGGGACGCACCTGCTTAAGATAATGAGTTAAACGGAAATGAAAACCGGAAAGGTAGTTGTAGCCTCGGAAACTGTTCTTGCGAGTAGATAACAACCAGAAAACCAAAGTCTAAGGAAAGCGGTAAGACAGGAGAGAAAACAAAAACTTTCTGAGGGCCTTAGCCTCAAGGATTGGCTGACAGGGGCGGGCCTGGGCTTGTCAGACGCGAGACGCGGAAGAAACTTGCGGCTGACCAGAAAAGAGAGGAGGAGGAGACCCAAGACCCATGGTATTACCGTTCCCGCAAGAGTGGCATCACTTGTGGTGTGTCTGGGGTCAGCAAAGCAGCTAGGGGACGCCGGGACTCATGCAGCTGGTAACCAAAGATGCGATTCACTCACCTTTCCCATTCCGAGGCAGTGGTGAAGTCTGTGATCTCAAATACCTCGGATTCGGGCTGCAGGAAAGAGAAGGAAAGAAAAAGAAATTAGGCCCCAAGGCGACGACACGGAGGAACGAATTTAGATAGTAACGAGGATTAAGTAGGGAGCAAAAGAACTAACCTCAGTGTCAGCAGCCATCTTGAGGAGCGCCGGGCTGGGCGCTATGGCTGCCGGGAAGAACAGCGGAAGAGCTTGGGAAGGAGGGTGGTGAGCTGCCCTGGGCGGGAGGTGTGGGCGGGGCTCCTAGTGGCCCCGCCCCCTGCCCAGGAGTCTTACCCTGGTAAGAGACGCGTGCTGTTTCTTCGCCCAGGGCTGGAAGACTTTGGTCCGCCCTCAGCTGGTTTAATGAAACTCCGCTCTAGCTAGTTTAATAAAATTTTAAAATTTCCTGTAAAGTAATGAATACAGAAAGGGAACAGAAGCAAGGCGGTCGGACAAGACCCTAAACTCATGTGAATAAGATTGTATCAAAAAACCTAAAGCATGCTAGGTTTTTGTTCAACCCCTATTTGTAGTTAGTACCAGTTGATTTACATTTTAACTATTGGGTTTATTTTCATTCAGCCTCTATTTATTAATTCCAAGGCACTAAGCTAGGTGCCCTATACTCACCACTTCTACCCTCCGCTCCCTGGCCCAGCAAGATCTTGCCCAGTTAATTGACATGAAATAAAATCATCACATTAGTTACCTGGTTTCTGAGAAGAGCAACATGGTGTTCAAAAAACTTTTCATTTTTTTAGCTGTTGAAGAACAGCAGGGTGTCAGCTAGCAGTTAAGAATTCTATCTCTTACTGAAATATATACAAATGAAATGCTGCCACATCTGGGGTTTGCCTCAAAGCAATAAGGAAAAAAATGAGTAAGGCTAGGAATGAAATAAAGGATATAAGTGGATAATTGTTTAAACCAGTGGTAATACTATTTCCTCTACTTTTGCTTAGCTTTGAATTTTTACATAATTAAAACTTTTTAAAAATTTAATCTCATTTAATGAATTTTGCAATCCACAGAGGTAATTTGGAGGTGGGGAACTAGGAGATGTAGCTTTAGTGATAAAAATTATTATTATTATTATTATTGTTTTTTTGAGATGGAGTCTCACTCTATTGCCCAGGGCACAATAACCTCCGCTCTCAGGCTCAAGCAATCTTCCCACCTCAGCCTGCCAAGGATCTGGGACCACAGGCGCAAGCCACCATGCCTGGCTAATTTTTTGTATTTTTGGTAGAGATGGAGTTTTGCCATGTTGCCCAGCCTGGTCTTGAACTCCTAAGCTCAAGTGATCTGCCCCCTTCGACCTCCCAAAGTGCTGGGATTATAGGTGTGAACCACCACACCCAGCCAAAAATTATTAATTTTGAAATAAGAATGAAAGATATAAAAAATTTGGTAATGTAGACAGACCAGATGAGGAAACTAAAGGTCAGAAAAATTTTGACAACAGGTTGTTACTGCCAGTGCCAAGCCTTGAACTCCTGTCTCTTGATGATCCTTGTGGTTTCTATCCACTATACTAGTGAGGAAGCGTGGGTTGCTATTGCAGTAATCTTTCCCAAAACATCTCAACTTGCACCTTTACTCATTTACAGGAATTCATTAAACACCTACTATAAGCCAATCACTATGCTAGACTCCAGGGATATGAAAATGTATTATAGGTACAGAATTTGACTTCAAATAACTCAGGGTCTTGTAGAGAAACTGAAATTTTGCTGCATGAGCAGAGAGAAGTGTCACGGATGTCAACATGGCTATTAGCAATGTGGAGGTCATAGGTAACCTTGACAAGAATAATTTTAGAGGAGAGCTGAAGGATAAGATAGAGGCAAGTGAGTTAGGGGTGGGGAAGCCTTCTAAGCAGTAGAAATAACTTATCCAGAGGCTCAAAGGTAGAAAAGTCTGGTTCATCTAATGAACTGAAGGAGTATCTTGCACCTAAAGCACAGTGTTTATGATAAAGTTGAAGAGATTGGCATAAGCCAGATCTCATAGGGCCTTCTACACCAGGGTTGGACTTTAAGTACAATGGAAGTCACTGAAGTGTTTTAAGCAAGAGAGCAATGTGATCCAGTTCACATTTGCAAATATCTGGATGTTACATGAAGAATACATGGGAGGGGACAAAAGAAGAAGAAGGAATAATGGGAGACTATTAAAACATCCAGTGAGAGAGGGTAGAGAGGTTTTGACTACAGTGGTCAACAGGAAAAGCAAAGTAATTTGATATGACCTTTTGGAGATAGGTCAGACAGGACTTGCTACTGTATTGAATTCAGGGATAAGGGAAAGGCAAGAATCAAGGATAATTTTCAGATACTTGGCCTAAGCAACTGTGTGAAGATGGTGCCATTTCCAGAGATGGGAAAAAGTAGAAGGAGTGAGGAAACAGAAGTTAAGTTTGGCAGATGTTAAGTTTGACAAGCTTGTAAGATAGTTTAGGGGAGATCTCAAGGAGAAAGTTAACTGTAGGAATAGGACTCAGAGGCAGGACCTTGGGTTGAGATGGTATTTTATACAATCCGGAGGAGAAGAAAAAAAGAAGTATCAAAAATTAAAAAAATAAAAAGAAAGAAAGAAAAGAGATGGTATTGTAAATCACGAGCCTAGGTGAAGTGATTCAGAAAAGTATATAGAAAGAGAAGAAGTGGCGCCTCATATAAAACCCTGAAGAAATTCTATATTTAGAGAATTGATAGAGGGAAAAATATCAAACAGAGAGAGGAAAGAAGTGACCAGAGAAATAGAAGGCAAAGAAAGAAAGAGCGATGGTGGAGAACCCAAAGAAGGAAACTATTTCAAAAGGTGAATATGGACTGCTGCCGAAAAAGCAAGTAAGAGAGAAATGTAGAGCCTGGGGTGATTGGTGGTTGGTTTTGTGTGTGTGTGGGGGGGTTTTTGTTTGCCTTTAGAACAGAGAATAGCAGACCTCTTGGTATGCTGGTGGAAATACTCTAGCAGAGAGAGAGATTGATGGCAAAGAAGAAATGGGAAAGCTGAAGGAAACAATTCTTAATGTGAGAAGAAAGGAAATTCACAGAGCTGGTAGTCATACAACTCCAAGAGACAGTACTCACATTGTGTTCTGAAGTCTTGCTTCAGGAAGTGCCACCCGCAGAGAACACCTTGTGAATCACACCTCCTGGAGATATGTGTCCGGCCAGTGGAGGAATTCAGAGCCCAAGTAGCAGGAGGGAGTGAAGCATATGTGCTGAGGTTGGCCTTTTTTTGAGAAGAGAAAGTAGGAAAGGAAAAGATGGGTACAGACATAGGGAGATTTGTGCGTATAAAAGGAAAAGAGTTTCTTGTTCACTTACGTTTTAAGATTCTCACCAGGTGAAGTAAGTCCTTGGGTTTTAAAGTCAGATAGATCTGGGTTCAGTCATTTTTTAACTATATGACTTTGGGAAAATTCCTTAACTCCTCTGAACCTGTTTCTCCAATAGTAAAAGGGGACTTTTAATACCTATTTCTACACAGGATTGTGGCAAAGATTAAGTTCTATGTTCATATGTAAAATGGTTAGCACAATGTCCTGGCATGTAATAGACAATCAATTATCGTAGTCACATTTATAATGAATGTACCAGGAAAACCAGGAAATGCTACTCACATGTAAGACATTACTGTTTTTCCTTCCGGGCTAGCCATGAAGAAGTTTCAATATGTAAAAAAGTCAGAAACTAAAAAATCACACATTGCATGAAGTTAAATTTTAGAAGCTGTATGAAGCCTATCAGGTTGCTAGGTAAAGTTTTCTTCTAAGATATTTTTGGCTCCTTGTCTTCTCCCTGGAGAAATTTTTAAAATAAGTTATTTATTAAACCAAAGTGAGAAGCCAGGATGCTAAAGATGTAAAATGCCCAGGGGAGACATACGTTTATTAGATTTTACTGGTTCACAATGCAGAAAAGATTCTGTTTCTTCAGTATTAACAGCGATTCTGCTAGACGTCCAAAGTCGAGGGCTTTTCCATGCATTTCCTTTCTGGCATAATTTAGTTATTTTGAGGTGTTACCAACAATGGCCACAGGGAGACAGTTGGACGCATAGGCAATTTAAGAAATTAGAAGCCTGGAAAAATCACCCTCAGCTTAGTCCTCAGAGGAATGTGGGGGCATAACAGTTTAATTAGATCTTAGTTATAGAGCAAACATTGTTTGTGAAAGGAGCAACAACTATGAGACTGATTACAACATCCTCATCTATCTGGACGGTCCTTTGCACAGGGAGAATCAAGAATTCTCTATGGGCCAGGCATGGTGGCTCACGCCTGTAATCCCAGTACTTCGGGAGGCTGAGGCAGGTGGGTCACCTGAGGTCAGGAGTTTGAGAACAGCCTGACCAACATGGTGAAACCCTGTATCTACTAAAAATACAAAAATTAGCCAGGCATGGTAGCGCGTGCCTGTGATCCCAGCTACTTGGGAGGCTGAGGCAGGAGAATCACTTGAACCCAGGAAGTGGAGGTTGCAGTGAGCTGAGATTGCACCACTGCCCTCCAACCTGGGCAGCAGAGTGAGATTCCATCAAAAAAAAAAAAAACAAAAAAGATGCTGCTATGAGAACCAGTGCAATAGAAGGTGTAGCTGGAAGAGGAAGACCTGTATGAGAATAAGAAACTCTTCAGAGAAAAATTCTCTAAATTATCCAGACAGCATTTTTTCATTTGGTAATATTTTTTTTTGATGTCCACTGTCATGGCCCTATGGTCAGTCCTATGGAGGGTTTCAAAGAAGAATGCCTGACTATTGGGTTCTCACAATCTGAGCATCTAGAGATAAGACATAAATAACTATATATTCTTTAGAAAGGGATGTGTGATGCCTATCCAACTTCTTAAAGCTCTTTGTAAAATCAATGGCAAAATAAAATTCAAGGACTTTTCAGAACACACACATTAATACCTTATATGCTTTTAAAAAAAGTAGTCCAGGCTGGGTGTGGTGGCTCACACCTGTAATCCCAGCACTGGAGGCCGAGATGGGCGGATCACCTGAGGTCGGGAGTTCGAGACCAGCCTGACCAGCATGGAGAAACCCCATCTCTACTAAAAAATACAAAAAATTAGCTGGGCATGGTGGTGCAATCCCAGTTACTTGGGAGGCTGAGGCAGGAGAATGGCTTGAACCTTGGAAGTGGAGGTTGTGGTGAGCCGAGATCGTGCCATTGCACTCCAGCCTGGGCAATAAGAGCAAAAATCTGCCTCAAAAAAAAAAAAAAAAGGCCGGGTGCAGTGGCTCAAG